AACTTCGTTTTATGATTAAGAAGCCATTGCAGGTGTGAGGCAGAGCACAATATGAAAAGAAAACTTCGTGGTTTTCGCCCACAGATGGAAGCTACATGTCACGTAGTCAACCCGCTACAGGGGGTTAATTGCACCGGATCATTGACCAGAAAATAGCATTTTTAAGCTTAATCCATTCGGCTTCTTAAACTGCAAATGTTAACGCTAGTCTGACTCATAAAATGAACCTCATTCTACCAAGATTCTAGTTAGTGGGCTCGACAGCATATTCTGAAACACACCCACTCGCAGTTTATCATTCTGGTCTATAGACATGTGATTGAAGCCTTGGTTATTCCCACTAATAAGGCCGAGCGTAGTGTCCATAGATAGACTTATTAACCTATCCAGAATTAGCAACTATTTTACCTTTGATGGTAAGCTATACGAACAAACACATGGACTTGCGATGGGATCTTTTTAGGTCCCATCTTGGCGAACAATTATATGGCAAGACATGATGAACATTTCGTGGAAGAGGCAATACTAACCCATAAATAGTTGGTTAGATATATGGATGACTATTTAGTCATCTGGCCTCATAGCAAGGAGAGTTTAGATAGTTTCCTACCTTCACTTAACCAACGTGAAAGGAACATTAAGTTCACAATGGAAATGGAAGAGAATACGTCCTTACCCGTTCTAGATGTTCTCAGCATTAGAGAAGAAGGTGGGTTAGGAAGAGATGTCTATAGGAAGCCATCATATTTTGGTCCTTTTCTGAATTTTATTTCCAACCATAGTTACAAAACTAAGGTTGGGATATTGACGTAAATTATTATTATGAGTATGAGACTGGCAAATAGTAACGATTTGACCAGAGTAGGAAGAAGTGAAAAATTTATTCCCGGAAAATAATTCGCAATTGGGCCTAATTGTTGATAATATCTCATTACTAAGGGATAAATTTTGAGACGGAGACTATTTAGTCAAAAATGGACAAGAAGATACCTCTTCTCGTGTTCACATTTTGCCGTCATGTCTTGTTTTCAAAAAGATAGAACTGGTGAGAAAGTGGAGGATAAATCAGTTGAGAGAAAGCCTCAAACTTCCCTCGGTTATGCCATCTTTTAGAGAAACAAAATACGACCCATTATCGAGATCCGGCTGCTACAATATTGTTTGCTCCTGTGGTCGAACTTATGTTGGTGTGACATGCCAGCCCATTCGACAAAGATCGGGGCAACACAAAATGCTTGCAAAGGGAGCTGGATTCGAACAAGCAGGCCAGAGACTCGACAATAGATAGAATGGTCTGAAGCGAGTAGGTTTGCTGATTATGCAAGCTACAAGAGACTATTTAAATTAAGAGATCCTCGAATACGCCGAATATGAAGAATGTTGGTAGAAAGTCGAGTTAGAGCTACTCAGGCTTGATTGATGAATTGAAGGAGAGAGAGAATATGTTGCTTCGCAGTCCAGGCATGATGAGTCCATCAGATTAGCCCGTTTTCACATGCAGCGAGGGAGGAGATCTCGTGGACCGCGTCAGCCTGAACGTGAACCTGAAGCCAAGCGGCTTCAGCCGTCGTCTTCTGGTGAGACCAACCTACGAATCTCTTCTCTTATGCACTTTCATACGAAATGAAATTCTCCCCAATAATGTTATGTCAGGAGATTCATCGAAATCCAGTGACTCTTCATATCTATAATACCAAATTATCTCAAATGTATTATGTGCGAAAATAAACAAGTTTCAAAGTGATGAGTCTATCAACATTTAAGACTTATTTGTGTGTTCAAATAGCCTTAACCAGTCGGTCTGTTCATCACACGAATATGATGAATCGTAATGGCAGACAGCTTCAAATGCATTTTGACAGTCTCGATGATCAACTTCTATTTAATTCAACGTTACGATTTGAAGAAGGCTCATGTTGTCCAAGTCAAGGCATCATCACTTTCACTTCATCCTTATCACCCTCTAAACAACAGATTTGCTGAGTCTGGACGTCATCTAATGTCGCCGTACTTAAAGGATGTTAGGCAAAAGTGAGGTGGTACAGGCAATCGCAAATGAGAATAAATGTTCTCGAATAATTACCAAACTGAAGGCCGATCCGACTCTAGGCAACTTACCGGGTTTCGCTGTTGCACGAAATAGGCAGAAAGTGTGCTGGCCGCCTGTCCATCGTGAGAGTCAAGCTCGAGGACCGGACCAGCTTCGCCACGGTAGCCCTCAGGAAGCTGATCGAAGCTGGTTGCTGAAACGAGCACGCGTCTGATAAGGAATGGAGTTTAGAAAGGAGAGCAAAAGAATGAAAACACGTTATACACAATAGGTTATATAAATAAATAAATATATAAATAAATAAATATATATATATATAAGCAAAAGATTAGGATTACAAATACATAAAAAAACTATTATTTGTGTAGATACCAATTAAATTTCCAATGAAACTACCTAGTGAAAGGATTTCTTGTTTGACTCATTCAGAGGATCGCCTCGGAATAATTGCCGAGGCAATACATTCATGAGATGGCTGAAAAACTATAGAAACCATTTGAAGTTCCTGGTGAATTCATGCTAAGCATATTCCTACCATGTTAAAAACAAAGCAATCATTTCATTTATAAGTAATTTCTCGATACCACCAGTAAGTCAGATATATGAAATATATTCACAGTATTTCGTTTAAGCTGATAAGAATACTGATAGTTGGATTTCTCTACCATTATGTGGGTAGATCCTATTTTTCCTTTGTATTTCACACAGACTTGATTTCCTAAGGTTATTCTCATCCAAACTGAAGTGGACTGCAGTTCCGACTTGGCCTCAACTGGTCTCATAAGTACTCCGAGCGGGACTAGAAATATGACACTGCAGCGTATGATCCTGACAAGTTAATCATTACGTCACGTTGCCACGAGTATGTATTTCAAGGAAGGCCAGACATTTTCCCATATCACATTCTGAGGTGGGGTTGTCGAGTAAGCAAAGTTGTATTGACTGACGAGACGTAGGCGAAGTCTAAACTGCAGTCTACTCCTGAATGGATGGGAATACCATTTGGGAAAGCAAGGATGCTTGAAATTCAATGGAAACTTAAAGTCTATTCATAGCTCGTAGATATGAAGACTAAGATGGTGTCTCCTTTTGCTTTATAGTGTTGGCTCGACCTTGTGGAACGTACCTAGTCCCGTGTCCTCTGTCATAGTAATCACGGTACATTCCCAAACGTTTAGCACACACACACACACACAAGTACATCATCCCAGTGCTCCAAGATTAGATGGGAATATTAACTTTACAGACGAGATGAGTGTGTTTTTTGTGATTCAAGGAGAAAAAGGGAAGCGGTGCATTCTCACACAATCGGCTATAACTTAAGCCGGACACAGGGTCCCAAAAAATAAGACACAATGTCGGTGAGGATGAGGGAGAGGATAATTGAGTCTTGGGAGAGGAAGACTCTCACGCTTTGTATCTCCCAGCATTCACCGACCATTCTAAAGAGATAGAATTTGATGTCCCGTAGGTCCCTCACCATTGGAAGCACCATAAAAACATTTTGTAATGTACCCTGTAGTGGGTTCGATGTAGAAAAAGGACAAGACTTAAATGAAAGGTGGAGAAGTCAGTTAAGGGCATATTGGTCTAAGTTCGCCAGTAGAGAGGAAATCTCGGAGCTGAGGTCAAAATTGCAGTACATTCCAGTCCAGTCCGGATGTGAATACTTTTCAGGAAGCTAGGCTATGCCAAATTCAATGGACCTATTCATATCATTGAGGGAAAATTAAAGTGGCAATCCTTCATCACCTAAAACGAAATTGGGTAAATACAGCCCAAATCACATCCACCGGAAGTCTCAAAAGATTAACAACAAGCCAGCCTAACAAGCTTTGTATTGCATAAGTGTAAACGAAATAACAATACACTATAAATATATACCAATTAGTTTAACAAGATAAAAAATATGAATTCGGTTAAAGCATACGCTATCCAATAAATAAATAGTTGAATAATTTATTTTTCATTAAACCAATCAACTTGTGATTTAGTAAAGAAATCAATAAGTCAATCAGTCGTTCGGTCGGTTGGTCATTCGCAGAGTTAGGAAATCACCAAGTCAGTTGGCCCATGCGTGAATGGACCTGCCAGCAAACGTGTGCTTATTCCTAACTGTCCGTTCACCAAATTGTCCGCCAATTCGAAAGTTGCATCAGCATAGTTAAACAAAACTAGATGGGCGGGAAGTGGATAGCTGTAGGGGCTTTGAGGTAGTCAGGCAGACGAGGTGGCTAGATTAGTCATCTGAAGCCAACCGGTAGGATGGAAGGTGAATCGGCCAGGCAGCGACTAAACAAGCACAAACAGAGACAGCAATACACAGTTGTATGCACTAGGGTACAATTCGAAGTTGTAGAGAACGAGCGAGGTTAAAGACGAGAGAAAAGTGAAAAAGAGAAAGTGAGGCAGAGCTGAAGGGAAGGAAGGCATACACAAAAAAGCGGGAAAAAAACGAAAAAGAACACCCTCTGAGATCTCTTTAGATAATGTTGTCGTTAGGGTCCAATGCCAATTTATGTTTTGACCTCGAGCTCCAGATTAATCATTTTTATTTCATTTTTGAGTAGGTTTACGAGATTACCAGTCAATGAGATGTATGAGTTATGTCCACCCTATTTCGTGTAGAGCGATGAAGGACTGATAGTTGAATTTTCCCACAAGAATATGGGTAGAACTGACATTTCCATTGCATTTCACATAACCTTGCCTTGCCAAAAGGTTTTCTCATTCAGGCTTATGCGGACTGCCGTTTCGACCTCGCCTCGGTCTTATCAACACCCCCAGCGGGAGTCGAACCGTGACAGCTTGGCACGTGAACCACTCGGCCACATTGCCACAAGTGCCTTTGGGTCATAGGGCAGATGTGAATTTCAAGGAAGGCCAGGCCTTTTTCCATATCACATTCTCTGGTGGGATTTTCGATGAAGCAAACTCATATTTGCTATAGCAATCAACTCTAAAACGAAATACAAATAATGTCGTTGATTGCTATAGCAAATATAGATTTGCTCCATCAAAAATCCCAGAAATCCTAGAAATTCACATATGTCCTGTGACCCAATGGCACTTGTGCTTAAAGTGTCGGAATTGCACATTGCATTGTCATAGGTTCGACTCCCGCCGGAGGTGTTGATAAGAAATGGGCAAGGTCGAAATTGCAATCCAGCTTGGATGGGAACAACTTTTGGGTAGGCAAGGCTATGTGAAATTCAACGGAAGCGAAGGTTCTACTCATATGATTGTGGGAAAATTCAACTACCAGTCCTCCATCACTTAAAACGAAATAGTGTGGACACACCTCAAAGATCTAATTATTTTCAGACGAGAAATCTGCCGATACTCATAATGATAGCGATAACATTTGTTCGTAGATATTGCAATGTCTACCTAAAAGAAAAACCCTCTAACCCTCAATGTGTTACTGAGAATTGGGGGGATTAGATGGGAATTTTAGAGGCTTATTCAAGATAAGAAAAAGCATACCCAGACCGATTGGCCAAGCGTCTAAGACGTGTAAGCAGGGCTATGTCTGATCCGACCAAATCGAACTGGATCCCAGAGTGACCAAAGACGGCGGCGTATGCAGATCCGGTATGAACGGCCACACGAAGGCTGAGATGAACTCTGGCGGAGTTGGAGAGCCAGCTGCGAAGATCGGAGAGTCAGTGAGTGCGAGGAGATGCAGTGATGGAAAAAGGAAGAGCACAAAAAATGCAAGTAACTTTGAGAAGAGCAGAGAGCATCATGTATCTCGTAAAAAACTCCCCTCTGACGGGAGGAAATACATGCTGCAAAGTGACAAGTCTACTCCTTCGAAACAAGCCTGCTCATCAATAGAAGCCGGAATAGTAATATTCTATCAAAATCTATTAATTATAGCCTCAGGGAAGGTTTGAGATAATTATCTTCGATAGTACAACGAAAACGATGCCCATACAAGTTGTTACACCCCCGTTAGATAAGCTGAGGCCAGATAAGAAA